CCTCCTCCTGATACTCGTCTTCATCCTCATACTCCTCATCAGCAGTAGCATCCTGATACTGCTGGTACTCGGCAACTAGGTCATTCATGTTGCTCTCAGCTTCTGTGAACTCCATCTCGTCCATCCCTTCCCCAGTGTACCAGTGCAAGAAAGCCTTTCGCCTGAACATGGCTGTGAATTGTTCACTAACCCTCCTAAACATCTCCTGAATGGAAGTCGAGTTCCCGATGAAAGTCGAAGCCATTTTCAGTCCTGTCGGGGGAATATCACAAACGGTCGACTTCACATTGTTTGGAATCCACTCCACAAAGTATGACGAGTTCTTGTTCTGAACGTTGATCATTTGTTCGTCGACTTCTTTAGTGCTCATCTTGCCCCGGAAGACTGCAGAGGCAGTTAGGTAGCGGCCATGTCTCGGGTCGGCTGCACACATCATGTTCTTCGCGTCCCACATTTGTTGGGTCAGCTCAGGGACGGTCAGGGCTCGGTACTGCTGGGACCCACGGGACGTGAGGGGGGCAAAACCGACCATGAAAAAGTGGAGTCGAGGGAAGGGGATAAGGTTGACAGCTAGCTTCCGGAGGTCGGAGTTAAGCTGGCCGGGAAAACGGAGGCAGCAGGTCACGCCGCTCATTGTTGCTGATATTAAGTGGTTCAAGTCTCCAACTGGATCAAGAAAAAACAATTTATTTATGAAGAAAGTTGCTAACTTTACCGAGTGGTCTTTTTTTTTTTTTGGTTAGAATATTTTCAAGAAATCACGAGCAATGTAATATATAGTGTTAAGCTGGAATATGAAGGCTTACAACTAGGGGTAGTGAGCTTGAGAGTTCGGAAACAGATATCATAAAGAGCCTCATTGTCGAGGACCATGCACTCATCGGCATTCTCAACAAGCTGGTGCACAGAGAGGGTTGCATTGTAGGGCTCCACCACAGTATCAGAGACCTTGGGTGAAGGGAATACGGAGAAAGTCAGCATCATCCGATCAGGGTATTCTTCTCTTATCTTGGATATCAGCAGTGTTCCCATGCCAGATCCTGTGCCACCTCCCAACGAGTGGCAAACTTGAAATCCTGAAAGCATAAAACAGATCAGTAATAAGTGAAGCCAGCATAGAGATTTGTTGATCTGGAATTGTGTTTTCAATCTATACAGACTAAAACTGCAAGTAGATTTCACGCAAGGACTCTGTAGGTTATTCTAATTGACTCATAATTCATGAAGCTTCAAGGGGAAATAGGATGAACACAAACACACTTGACATTAACTAGGAAAATCACATTGATAATAACCATAACAAATTGAATAATTCTGACGTGTATTACACAAAATTGTCTCCCAGAGGTCATATGAAGCACCAAAGACACATTCAGTAGAAAGTCATATCGAACACTTAAGAACTCAACAGTTAAAATATGCTGCACACATATACATGTGACAACAACAATGTATCACTACCACTTCATAAAATACCCCATACTTCATAAACAGTTAACTCAACTGTACAATTAAACAAATACAGAAAAAAACATCAAACTAGCTACATTGTGAGAGAGTTGATGAGATTTATCCCAAGCTTGATAAAACATTTAACATTACAGCTGAAACAAACACAGAAAAACACCAAACTAGCCACATATCAATAAAGATGATGAGATTAAGCCAAACTTCATAAAACATTGAACAGTACAGTCTAAAGTATAATTAACAGTACAGTTGAAAGTTGAAACTAACACAGAAAAACACCAAACTAGCCACGCACACCAGGAGACTTCTGTAATCTCATCAACCCCATAAATACCAGTTTCTACACTATTCCGCAGAACTTCAGTAATGAAGAAAATATATGTTTCCAGATAGCATTAACGCTTCGTAAATCAACGCCTGCAAAAAACCAAACCCTAGCAACATAAATTAGGGCAGAAGAGAAAAATCAACTGCATACCCTGGAGGCAGTCGCAGTTCTCAGCTTCCTTCCTGACAACATCAAGCACGGAGTCGATCAGCTCAGCCCCCTCGGTGTAGTGCCCTTTCGCCCAGTTATTCCCGGCGCCCGACTG